ATATATATATATATATATATATATACACACACATATACACATCCATACATTCATTTGTGTCTTTTATATTTTCCCGGAGCTCAGCTTTAAGTCCCCATCTGAGTACAGGTCCGCCTTGAGCAGTTCTCAGTGCTTGATGACAAATTAGAATTTGCAAAATTAAGAGTAACTGTTTGAATATCTCATTTAATTAACATTCTCCACATTCATTAGAGGGAAGACGTGTGGTGCAGAACGGTAAAAAAATAAATACTGAATGGGGATGGGGGGAAAAACATAATTCATGATGAGAAATTCAAACAGTACATCTTAACCGGTTAAGTTCTAATCATTAATATTACTAAAAGGAAACCGCAAAGCCGACTAAAAATGGAAGAATGTGGGGGATACTTAAGCGCGGCAGTAATGATCTGTTCACTTGTGCTTGCTGGGCAAGGTTTCAATTTTCAGTTTTATTACACCAAAGCATTTGCTTCAGGTCTAATTAGATATTTTTTGTCATTTAAGCAAGTATTATCCACTTTGTTTATCACATCTAAATTTTAAAGGCCGACGCCACATAAAGTAAAAGTTGTTGCAAATGACAAAGTTAGAGTACACTGAAGCTAAAACTTTTTTTAGTTTTGGATAGAGTAAGGTAGAGTTAAGGTGTCGCATTGGGGAGATTTCCATTTACTTCCTGTCACAACAGAAAGTAAGAAGAAATCCCTGCAAAGCAAGGGGGATACCTGGTGGTCAGCAGAACTAATGTCCGCAGTGGAAGATTTCCCATCTATTCCTGTTCTGATGTCAATCCAAAATTTGAATTTTCTTTTACTTGACAGAGAAGGAGAATCTCCCAAAGGGGGCACCTGACAAGTGTTCTAATCTCTCTCCACTCTATCCAAAACAAACAAACAAAAAAAAGATTTTGTTGTGTTTCAGTTTCACTTTAAGGGCTAAATTAGAGGATATCCGAAACCGAAACTTGTTATTAAAGGGTTAGTTGACCTTTTCAATGAGGCAGGGTGCTGTGAGCCCCGTTTCAGCCCCTCCAATGTCAGCAGCATGTTGATGATGTGGGGAGGGAGAACCAGTGAAAGCAAATCATGTGCAGATTAAATTTCAGTTTTAAAACCCCTGAGGTTTTTTTTTTTGGGGGGGGGGGGGGGGAG